GCTCTTTTGTGTTTTCAAGTGGTTTTTTTTTTCATAGAAGGAGAGCAGGAAAGAAATACCTAGCACTCAAGAGAATACTGGAAAGTGCTCGGGGATTCCTGGATCATAATTGCCAAGGGCATGATGTGGAGACTGTCACCAAGGTAATCACATAAGCCTCTGCCACATATATTGATCTCCAAAGGAAGGTATCATTGCGCTTGTCAGGACCTCGCTGTGGAAATATTGTGTCCTTATCACCCCAAAGCACTGCAGCATTCCCACACCAGATATCTTGTGTGAGGGCTGAGCCCAGTAGAGCAGATTCTGAATCATTTTTTAATAGAATTTTCTGATTGAAGGAGACCTTGGCAACCATCTAATCCAAGCCCTTGAGAGATGAAGGAACCTCTAAACAGTTATGTAATAAAAGGTTAGGGCAACATTTGGAACCCCAGCTTCTTCAAAATGCATTTTCTTTCCTTCTGACTTTCCGGTTAGAAAGCTCAAAGTATATTTCATATGCACACAAAGGGGATTTCGTGACACATTGCTTGCTTGTGATGCAGGTAAGAAGCTGGAGGAGACCTCCTCAGAGGTTTGAGGTCTGATATGGAATTCTGTATTACGGATACACTGAGCCAGCAGAATGCATGGGTAGAATCACAATCCAGCTCTATTCTCCTCCATCAGCCCTGTGCAAATCTGCTCTCTGGGACTTATCATTTCCCTTTCCATTATGAATGAATGATTTTGAAGGGAGTATCAGTCTTAAGTAACAAAAAACAATCTTTTACTTTTAAGCCAAAAAAGGCAGTCTTATTTCAGCAATTAATAGGCTGAAATAAGACATAATAACAATAGCCAGGCCCTGATGGCTCATGCCATTAACCCTAGCTACTCACATGATGGAGGTCTAAGGATTAAGGTTTGAAGCCAGCCTGGGAAGAAAAGTCTGAGAGACTCTTATCTCCAATTAACCAGCAAAGACCAGAAATGGAGGTGTGCTTCAAGTGGTAGAGTGCCAGTCTTCAGCAAAAATGCTAAGAGACGGTGTCCTAGTCCTGAGATCAAGTCCCAGTACAAGCACACAAAAAAAGAAAATGTAGGAAGGACGGAAGGATGGAAGGAAGGAAGGAAGGATGGAAGGAAGGAGAGAGGGAGAGAGGGAAGGGAGGGAAGGAGGGAGGGAAGAAGGGAAGAAGGAAGGAAGAAAAGGAAGGAAGGAAGGAAGGAAGGAAAACAAAACACTTTTACAATTCATAGGGAGAGAGGAGTAATGGCAGGTACCCTGTGCATATCTTCCAGCCTGACACTCCCCCCCCCCCGCCCCGCCCTTAGCTGCCTGTCTCCTCTGGAACAAAAGCTAAAAGTTGCAAAGGTTTCAGAGGACTCTACCAGATTTTGGGGAGCCACAGTAAATATCTACTTCTTGTCAGAACCACGCTCACCACCAATACCACTCAATCCCCTCTTTGAACCTTTTGCCAATATGCTTAATGAGGAATCTTTGGCCATCCTTTCACTCCCTTGGTGCAGGAAGTTCATTTTGCTTCAGACTACAGCTTCGACTTCTTGTCCTGGGCCTTGGGCATCTGGAGGCAGATTTCTGGCCTCTTTCTGCCCAAAGTCTGTTTTCTTTTCCAAGGGTCCTCTTAAGTGGGCTCACAGTCAACCCCACTCTGTGTCACTCTCTTAGACTTGGGTTTTATAGAAGTGTCTCTATCCAACACTCCAGCCACTTTTTGCCAGTTTTGGTTTGTAAGGCATGAGCCATACACCAATCCATAGTGTTCCCCAAAATGGCAGGGGATACAGACTAAATTCTTTGAGTGGTCTAAGGTGAGAGAGTCAGGCTTTGCCCTTGACTGTGGGAGAAGATTCTTTTTTTAGCGGGGGGGGGGGGCAGTCGTGGGGCCTGAACTCTGGGCCTGGGTGCTGTCCTTCAGCTCTTCAGCTCAAGGCTAGCACTCTACCACTTGAGCCACAACACCACTTCTGGCTTTTTTTTCCTGCTTTTGTGGTGCTGAGGAATCGAACCCAGGGCCTCAAGCATGCAAGGCAAGCGCTCTACCACTGAGCCACCTTCCCAGCCCCCAAAGGAGGAGATTCTTGTAACACCTATGACCTCCACACAAGCCTTCTATATCTACAGCCTATGGCCAGCACTGATATCTACTCTTAAATATAAGAAACAGAGGTTGAGAGGATGTTCTTTTACAATCCCTGTGAGGTGATCCAGCTCCTGTTTGGAGTAGAAGAGTATTAACCATTATCTAGGGGCTCTGTCAAAATGGGAGCAAAGGGGTTGGGAAGGTGGCTCAGTGCTTGCCTTGCATGCATGAGGCCCTGGGTTCAATTCCTCAGCACCACATAAGCAGAAAAAGCTGGAAGTCATGCTGTGGCTCAAGTGGTAGAATACTAGCCTTGAGCTGAAGAGCTGAGGGGCAGTGCCTAGGCCCAGAGTTCAGGCTCCACAACCAACCAAAAAAGGAGCAAAATAATAGCTTCTATTTAACATCCTGCTACCAAATGTACTTCCTTTCTCTTTCCAATTGCCCTTGTGAGGTTCTCTTAAAAAAGGTAGATTTTGGAAAGAGTCAAATACCATTTGAAGAAGCTTTCTATGGTGGCTGAAGTATTGGGCTGTTGGATTAGGGCTGGCAATAACTTTGTAATACAGGGATTTTTTTATTAAAATGAGATTCATTGAAATTTCAGCAGCAGCAGGGATTTCCAGATTCTCTGGGAATGTTATTTATAAGCTGTGTTTCTCAACGTTAGGGTTTTTTTTTTTTGAATCAATAAGTGAAATTATTTGAATCATAAAAAATAACCAATTGTCTGCCTAAGAGAAAGAAAATGAGCAAGAATATAGGGTTTCTTTCTAATTGTTTTCTGTCATGATTTCAGTTAGATAAGAAAACCCCTGCTATCAGATAAACCACAGCCACCACTCACTTGTACAGACCCTTGTGCTGGACAGTTTAGTTTGCAGATGAATAGCGCACAATTCCTAGCTCCTTCCTGTAGTATTCCCTGAAAACTGCTCCCCAAAGAAGTTCTGGGCTCCCACACATCCTCAGCCCTCTACCTTGTTCCCTCTACCTCAGTCTCTAACCTTGTGCTTGACCCTTTCCTCCTAGCCTAAAGCATTTTGGAACCTGGCCATTTAAAGTTATGAGATGAATCTTTATATACATAGAAGAGAAAGAAGAAAAAGGAGGAGGAGGAGGAGGAAGAGGAGGAGGAGGAGGAGAAGCAGCAGCAGCAGCAGGGCACAAGTGGTTCACACTTGTAATACAAATTATTCAGGAGGCTGAGATCTGAGGATTATGGGTTGAAGCCAAATGTCATAGGAAGGTCCATGATATTCAGAAAAAGAAGCAAAAAAGCCAGAAGTGGAGCTGTGGCTCAAGTAGTGAAATGCTTGAACTCATAGATAGTGCCTAGGCCCAGAGTTCAATCCCCAGGACCGCCCCCCCCCCCAAGAAGCCTAGTGCTGGTGTCACATCTGTAATCCTACTCAGGAAGCTGAGACCTGAGGATCATGGTGTAAAGCCTACTCAGGCAAGAAAATGTATAATTTTAAAACCCATTAAAAAGCTGGAAGTGACTCAAGTGGTAGAGCAGCAGCCTTGAACACAAGATCAAGGACATTGCCCAGGCTCTGAGTTTGAGACATAGGACTAGCACAAAATAAACAAGGAAATAAAGAGAAAGCAAGCAAGAGGGGGGGGAGGGAAGGGAGAGGGAGGGAGGAAGGGAGGGAGGGAAGGAAGGAGGAAGGAAGGACAGATAAGCTTGGCACTAATGGATTATGTCTACAATTCTAGCTACTCAGGAAGCTGAGATCTGATGATCAAGGTTCAAAGCCAGCCCATGCAAGAAAGTCTGTGAGACTATTAACTCCAATTTATCACCAGAAAGCCAGAAGTGGAGCTCAAGTGATAAGTTTCCAGCCTTGATGAAAAGCTAAGGAACAGAACTCAGGCCCTGACTTCAAGCCCGAGTACTGGCACGTGTACACACACACACACACACACACACACACACACACACCAAAAATCGTATGTGGTTCTTCATCAGAATACCCAAGTTCAGGTGAGTGTGGTGCAGGCCTGTAATCCCCACACTTGGGTGGCTGAGGAATGAAGACAACAAGTTTAAGATCAGCCTGGGCCACATAGTGAGGCTTTGTCTCCAAAAGAAAGAGACAGAGACAGAGTGTAGGCATAGGGGTCAGGGAGTACAGTTATTATCAGAGCTGGGGTCATAGTGGGACTTAAGCAATCTTAGCTGTGGAAGTCATATTTCACGTTTTGAGAGTCTGACAAAAGCCAGTTATTCTCCTCAGAAAAGTACTCAAAAATTTTAGTGTGTACTTGCAGGAGATTTTAGACAAGGGCTAAATGTTGGGTTTTGTGGTTCTGACTGGATTAACAAGAAGTTTCCCTGAGCTGAGGAAGCGAAGAGTCCAGTAGTCAGGACAGAACGGTGACAAGAAATCAATAGCCCCATACTTAGACAGTCATCAGGAACGCTGTGGGGGCGCAGGGAGTTCTGGAAACGAATGGTGAAGGGTTGGAATGGGCCGCATTGGAGAGGAACCTTAGACTCAGTGCTTTGAGAGATAACAGTTTCAAGGAAATAGGCCTGCAGACGAATAGAGGACTGAGCCAGGTTGATAAGGGGCGTGGGGGGGGGGTGTGGGGAGAGAATCCTGACCATCGGAGGCCAGCCAGGCTGCAATGGGAACCCAAGTTAACCAGGAACCTGTGCTAACCATGGCCCTGGTGGTCCACACACACTCCTGCTGGAGGTCATGGACAAGGTGCCGGGGCGATGTTGGGGGTCTGGACTGGGGCAAGTCACTGAAATGCTAATGAATGGAGTTTTAGGAGGGCACCCGGAGAGAAGCAGGAGGGCTCTGGGCGGGCCGCCTTGAAGTCCCCCCGCCCCCGCGTGCACTGCCAGGGTCAGAAGTTGGCTCCGTAAGATGAAAGGAAACCGCGGGAGCGCACGGGGCGGCGGAGAGCTACCTCCCGCCTGGGGGGCAGGAACACCGTAGCTGCCCCGTGCCCAAGCCCTAGGTGTGCGGACCTAGGGTGACAACAGGTCAGGAATAAATAACCACCCGGCGGAGGCGCCCAGCTCCCTCCAGCCTTTTGTTGGGCGAGGAGCGCCAGGCAAACCAGGCATCCACAAAGGCTGGGGAAGGAAGCGGATCGGCCGCCCGCGCCCGGCTCCAGCCCCGGTGACTATAAGGGACCCCAGGGCTCAGGGAAATGGTGGGGGTGGCCTGAGTCCCGACTCGGGGAGGGAGGGGGAACCCCAAGACCAGTCGGGGGCGGGTCCCGGCGCGGCAGGAGGGGGCCGGGCGGCCGGGAAGGGCAGATCCCACCCCTTCCTGAAGGAAGCGCCCTCTTCG